CATGTGTATAGTTGCTTTCACTGATGACATTTGTTGTCAATAATTTGGATAAGTTTCAAACCAATAACTCTGTTTATGTAATTGGTACCAGAAGGAATGACCACCTTCACATACCTTCAACACATTTATCATCCTATAAGAGAGGGGTGTATTATTCAGGGGTCAAGCTATTTAACACTCTGCCATCAAATATCACAGTTTTAAAAAATGATAAAAAGCAATTTAGGTTTAATAATCTTAATAATATCAATAATCATAACAATTATAATAATTCTAGGAATTTAAATGTCAAGCAAAAGAATTCTGAAACGTTTAACTCACTAGATAAGGCTAACTTAACCATATTCCATCAGAATATATGCGGTATTTGAAAAAAAAACTAATGAAATTTTATGTCATTTGTCACAGCAATTGCCTCATATTACAGGGTGGGGCGCAGAAACTTCCTTTTTTGAAGGTGAATAAAAGAAAAAGTATTGCTGACAGACAAAATTTATGTTTAGCTAATGAAAGAACATACTTTAAAGTTTTAAATCATATAGTTTTAAACAAAATATCTTGAAGGTGGTGGCCACCGTTCTCTATGCACTGATGAACCGTTTTCTGAAGTTCCCCTCTGCACGTTCCAACATGTGCACTGGAATTTGGGATACTTCCTGCCGAATAACATTCTTCAGCTGAAGCAGGTTTGTGGGGCGATGTTTAAAAACCTCTGCCTTGAGGTATCCCATAAAAAGAAATTATGGTGTTAGATCAGGTGAGTGCGCTGCCCATGGGATGTCACGTCGAAGTGAGATGAGCAGCCTGGGGAACTTTGCCGTCAAAACTGTCATTGAAGCTCGGGCTGTGTGGGCCGTGACACCATCCTGTTGGAACCAGACATTTCCTAGAGACATATCTTCAAGAGCTGGTATGAAAAAGATCTCAAAATCGACTGTCGAACTGCCTCCACATTTTCTGGTGTCGTAACGGTTCGTTGTCTTCCTGATGACTTTTTCACCACACTCCTGGTTGTCCTAAAGTTCTCTACCCACAAAACAATCGATTTCTGGTTGGGAAGCAGACCTCTGGGCTTAATTCCGAAGTGAGTACAGAACACACGCTGCACCACCATGTAGGAATGGTTGTTGAAAAATGGACTTCAACAGCAAATGCATGCTGTTCACTCGTCCACCTCATGTTTCCTACTGAGGGGTATTAGAAACTTCCACAACTGCTGCATTCGCTGAGCTTATTCCCACTTTTCTGCGACCTTCCCTCCCTTCACAATGTGTCTTCACAAAAAGAAAGTTCCTGCGCCCCACTCTGTATGTTTCACCGAACACCACTTAACTTCGCAGGAAATCCAATCTGTTTTTATTGATAAATTTACTTGTGGTGCTCATTATTGTAGGAAGCTATTACAGAAGGGAGGAGTGTGTATATATATGAACAACAATATAATCTCCTCCAGTCTAAATCTGAAGGCTTATTGCATTGACAGAGAAACTGAGGTATGTGGTGTTGTTTAAATTTCAGGGTAAGGAAATTTATTTATTAACTATCTACAGGTCACCTTCTGGTAACTTTTCTCATTTTATAAATCAGAGAATATTGTACATTCACTTTATAATCCCAAAAATGATTTAATTATTTGTGGAGACATGAATATCAATTACTTAGAAGAGTCTAGTAGGGTTAAACAACTAAATGCCCTTTTGAAAACTTTTAATTTAGTTAATGTGGTAACTTTTCCTACCAGAATTGGCAGACATTCTAGTATTTCCATTGATAATGTGTTCATTGACATCACTAGATTTAATAATTTTCTTGTCTCACCTATACATAATGGATTGTCAGATCACAAAGGTCAAGTATTTATCATTGTCCATCCCTTCACATTAATAAGAGAACATCAGTCCTATACATACAGGAAAATTAATACATTTACTGTTGCTGATTTTTTAAATCAGTTAAGCTGTGTAAATTTGGACGAAGTCTTTGGAGGAAGCAATGGGAATTATATATTTAATGTCTTCTTGAACACCTGCTTGAGAATTTTCTATTCTTGTTTCCCTATGATTCATAAACAAAAGATAACAAAAGGTGGAAACATCAACTGGATCACCACCGGTATCAAGAGTCTTTTGTGGGGGGGGGGAACTTATATTTAAGACTAAAAAAGGAACGGAATTTAGTTCTGAAAGATTACTATTCCAAGTATTGTAAAATTTTAAACAAGGTCATTGTTTTAGCCAAAAAAAAAAAATTGCTCATGACAACTATATTAGGAAATCCCATACTAAACTTAATTCTACTTGGAAAATAATTAATTCAGAAACGGGCAGAATCTGTAAATGAAACGACTTTCAGGATCTAATTAAGAAATACAAGAATCAAAACGCTGCTGAACAAATTAATGACTACTTCATTTCTGTTGGTAACAAATTAATTAAAACAGATAATGGTAAGCATAGCAATATTTTGGCTACAGAATTTTTACCATCTATGCATCAGGCAATTTTAAATAATTACCCAAAAATTCATAATGAACCACCCACACCTGGAGAAATTGAAAAAATAATTAAAGCTTTTAAAACTAAAGATTCTTGTGGATACGATCAAATATCTCTGAGGATCACTAAACTCAGTGCACCGTATATAAGCTTTACATAAAGTTACATTTGTAATAAAATTTTACAATCTGGGGTATTCCCTGATCAATTAAAATACTCTGTAGTTAAGCCAATACATAAAACGGGAGATAAATCAACATTACCTAACTACAGACCCATCTCGCTACTAACATCCTTCTCAAAAACTGTAGAGAGAGTAATGTATAACAGACTCGTAAATAATCTCATGAAACATACTATTATTATTCCAAATCAATATGGCTTCCAAGAAAATCTATCGATGGACAATGCTATATATACTTCAATAAATGCAACTTTAACTGCACTAAATAACAAACTAAAAGCCAAGGGACTATTTTGCAATGTTGAAAAAGCTTTTTATTGTGCAAATCACAACATCCTTCTCCATAAACTGGAAATATATGGAGTCACTGGAGTATCCAAGAAATTATATTCACAATATATTAAGGACAGATACCAGTGCATTAACTTGAAAGATAGTATAACTTCTTCTAATATTACATCTAATTGGTCTAAAATACAGCAAGGGGTACCACAGGGCTCGGTATTGGGTCCTCTGCTGTTCTAATTGTATATTCATGATCTCCCCCAAGCTACTGCTGACTCTGCTTTATCAGTCTTGTTCGCTGATGATACCAGCCTCATAGTCATTGATAAAAGCCCCGACATTATGGAAACTAAACTTAATGAAAGTCTTATAATCATAGATAAATGGTTTAAATCAAATTTGTTATCAATCAATCTTTTGAAGACTTTCACTATGCAGTTTATAACCAAAAACTGTGTTCCTACCAAGGCCTCCACTTCTTGTAATATTAGTGATATAGTGGAAGTCTCTCATCTCAAATTTCTTGGTTTGGAAGTTGATAACGTCCTCTCTTGGAATATACATATTGATTCAGTTATTAACAAACTAACTACAGTTTGAAGAAAGTCGTCTTCTGGGATCTGGTGCCNGTGAAGGGGGGGAAGGAAAACCGGCCAGTGAATCCAGGCAACTTGGGGGTCAATGGCACGGTGGTAGCGGGTAAACAAGAAGGACCGGTTGGCTGGGGACAGGCTACTGACGTCAATGACATGAAGAACTGGGGTGGCTTTGTGGAGTTCTCTTAAGGGAAGAAATAACTACAGTTTGCTTTATGATAAGATCTGTCAGGCTCATCGTTGGTGAAGATATATCATTCTCTGTTTCATTCTATACTATCATATGGAATTATATTTTGGGGGCAGGCAACCAATACCAAGAAACTCTTTGTGATACAAAAAAAAAAGCAGTTCATTTAATGACAGGATATTGTAATATGCATTCATGCAGAAATCTTTTCAGGCAGCTTGGAATTTTACCGTTGAAGTCACAATATATTTATTCAGTTTTGCTCTTTGTATCAAAGAATAGGAAACTTTTCACTACTAATCATGATGCACATAATCTCAAGACAGGGCAGAGTAGTAATTTATATCTCCCAACTTCCACCTTAACACTGTAACAAAAAGGTGTTTACTTGACAGGTATAAAGTTATTTAATAATCTGCCTCTTGAAATAAAGGGTATTGTTGAGATACACAAGCAATTTAAGATTTCTTTAAGAAGATACTTGATTACCCACTGTTTTTATGACTTGGAGGAGTATTATAGTGTTAATGAATGTTGTTGTAAACTAATGGTTTTATATGAATAGTATGTTAGTTACTCTATATTGAATTATATGAGTCTATCTGTATAATAGTTTTATTGTATTTACAATAATACTTATTGTCCTTTATATCATTTATTTTATTGCTTTATAATTTTGACAGGTTCTAATTATTTACCTGAGCTCAACTTATACCTGAACTGTACTTATGATTGTATTGTACTTTCATGTTCTTCTGCTTATCCTGACATATTTTAATTAATATTTGACATGTTCTATATCCTATGGTTTGTAACCAGTTTTATTGGATCATCTGGAACTCGAAATAAATTACAATTACAGTACTTTCACTCTAACTGAATCATAGGCTTTCTTAAAGTTCATGAATTGCTAACGTACTGTCTCACTGTGCCCCATTTTTCTCCAGTATCTGACAAATGCAGAAAATCTGATCAGTAGTTGATCTTAATTGTATTATATGCATATTTTTGCAACTCCAGGTCAATCCCATCCATAACTGGGGTTTTTGTTTCAGAGCCTTTCAAAGCTGTTTTCTAATGCTTCCCATGTTATAGGATCTACACAAACGAAATTACTTTTGTTTTTTATATATGAAACTTAAGGATCTGTTTTATTTATTTCATTATGTTAGTCCATAGGTCTTTTCAATAACTGAATTGTGTATCTACTGTTACATGGCTTATGACATATATCTGCTCCAAATCATCAGTCTCCAGTGTGCATTACAAGCAGAAACTCCAGACTTACAACTTCACTATAGGAAAACCATCTGAGAAGCTCTCAGAGAGCCCTTGGATGGTCAGCTTGGAGGGACACATGCTACTTGCAGCATCTCACACTGTGCACACTCAAGACTCATGATTGTACATGGACAAGCCGGTAGGTCAACAATACACATCCAGGTCACAGAAAATGCCGGAAATGGCCCCTTTTGTTATGCAGGCATTCATTCCTTGCACCTCCATAAAATGTTCACATTCACTTACTCAAGTTTATTTTTGGAACCAGTGAAAACTAAACCCAGTCTCTGCAAGCCATCTAAGAGATTTCTAAGAATAATTCTGATTTCATCCAATTTCTCTTCAGTGGGTACTCAGCATTTTGAATCAGTTAATTTATTTTATAATAATGATGTCTGTCTAAATTTATTTGGTTGTATTAATAATTATAATCATTTATTTGGAATTATAACATGCTGACATTTGTTGGAATCGTTTCACTACTTTTCACATAGGTATTAACTATGAACACTTTTTTCAGTGTGCAACTCAGTGTGGCATTTTGACAGCACAAGTAGTGTAACTGCATACATTCAGTGGGCACATAACACATAACCTACTGCCTTCTTGACCATGCCATAAGTCTGAATGCACCCATTGCAAGATAGTGTGAGTAGTGCATATCTTTTCTTGTTGGAGGGGTTTTCAAGAGGCTCTCAGGCAATCTGTGTTCTTTAAACAAGGGAAATGCTGGTTTCACAGCAAGTAAGTTCATGTACTGTATTGGGAGGGGGGCTAAGTGACAGCTACAGTCACATTGCAGTGATTTCTGATGGGTATGGTATTCCCAAAACAAAAATATGGTACTACCCAGAATATAAAAATTCTTACATTTGAACAGTTATATGTGAAGCCAATTCAGTGTATACCTCATTGGAGCACTATTTTAATTCACTGATTCTCTATCAGATTTATGTGGTAAGAATCCCTTGAATGAAAAACTAGACTTACTTTATTTAACCATGATATCAACACTATTAAGAAAATACATGACAGAAATACGAATTTACTTTAAAGCTGACCAGTGACACATGCGAAGAACTTACTAAAAGAAAGATGATGGCTTGAGGAATTTGTTTATGCTTCTCATAGCAGAATCAAGGATCAGACATTTGTTAAGAACTTAAATTATTTATTAGGTAGGGTTATTGCTTTTAATGATAATTTCAAGTTAAAATCTGATGCTTGTTCAAATCTAAAAGAAAACCAACACTTTTTTACTGTTATCATCATTATTACGCTTATAGTTTTTGTCATTTAACAATAAACCCCTCCTATGCAATGTTCTTACAATAATTTTATATTTCATTAATATCTGCAAACTGAGATTTTCAAGTGTAGCATCTGAGAACAATATCAGATTTTATAAGCAGCAAACATTAAATTTTAATTATTTTATTATTTGTCCTGTAAAATTACACATTTTTCCACCTATGAGGTTGTGATTTGCAACAATAAGATGGAAATTCCATTAGTTTTCTTCAAATACTGTTACAATAACATGATGCTACATTATCACTATATCTCCACACAGTATGAATATACGTGAGCATGCATCTACACAAAGTTTCAATTGAGACATGAAGTCTCTTTTATATGATTGGGGAGGGAATGGGGTAATACAGCCCTCTCAGGAAAGAACACTTGCTGTGTACAATATCTGTGTCCTGTATAGGCCTTGTACAGAGTTTTTTTTTTAAACTCTGTTGACCGGTTTATGGTAACCGATGCACTGCTTGCTGTGAAGCACATACAGATTTTTGCTGATGAATCAGCATGCCTGATAACATTTGGAATGAAGTGAAGTAATTGACATTTGGACTGCTTGACAGCATTATGTTTCATGGTAACCAGTACCATTCACGCACGGGAGTTTATAATTTGTCAGCAGAAGGCAGCAATTATCAGCTCCATCAGCCATTTGTTTTCAGTTACAGTTAGTGAGCAGTGTGTGTGTGATACGTCATGATGTAGTATACTTTAAGAGCAACATGTTTTTCCATATGACACCTATGCGAAATATGGATCTGCTAGAAAATGTTGGCGAAAATTTTGTGATGAAAGAGTTCCCAGTAGACAGACAATTAACAGTTTGGTGAATAAACTTAGAACAATGGGACTCGTAATAGCAGGATTCAGTTTTGCAGTTGGTTTCTGTGGTCTGTCATTGAAGGTGAGACTGCATCTTCAATTGACATTCTTTGCTGATAAAGTGTGGTTTCACTATCAAGGATATATAAATGTGCAAAATAATCGCTACTGGAGTTCACAGAATTGACATCTAACTCATGAAGCCCTGCTCCATCCAGTGAAAGCTGGTGTTAAGTGCAAGAAGGATTGCTGTATCTGTGTTTTTTAATGAAACAATTCAGTGTGCAAGATATCTACATGCAGAGTGACAGCATTTTCAACACTTCCTGCTATCTGTGAATTGTAACTACTTCATTCCGAACATTATCGGACATCAGGCATGCTGATTCGCAGGCAAAATTCGCATGTGACTTGCAGCTGGTGGTGCACCACGTGCCATGAAGCACAGAGCTGTAGAACTGGTCAACAAAGTAAAAATCCTTTTACATCAGCATGCAATATAAAAATGATAAAAAAATAACACAGCATGCTACGAACAAACATAGGACAACAAGAACTACCTTCCCAAGAAAGACAGGAGGCACAAGTTTGGCCCCGTCAAGAAAAACGAAAGGACAAGGGACACGAACCAATTCGGTTAAAGAATTTTAACTTAAATAACAAAAAGTTAAAAAGAAGAAACTTTAATGCATCAAGGACAGTTGCTGTAGTTGTAAGAAATTTGGATTTTGTATAGAGTATATATTACAAATATTGTATATTTATGTATTTAAAAATCAAAACACCTAATGTAATAGTAGTTTCTAGAAGTACTGATGTTCCCTCTGATGATGGTCTATAGGGACCAAAACGTGTTAGGGTGCTAAGAGGTGAAGTAGTAAAAGCTTCAACAGTCACACTGGGCGGAATTGTTTTATCATTTGTAATAAAAAATCTAGTCACAATGGCTGGAATATTATGCTGCTTGAATGTACATATAATTTAAACTAACTTTCCAACATTAGGTTTCATTCACATTAAAGATGAGCACCAAGGGCAACATAATATTCATCAGCATAAAATGTCAAAGCTGAACAGTGTCTTGACTCCACAATTTCAATTCATTGAACTGTACAAAATAAGGTCCATGTGTATTCAATTTTAAACCACTTTATTATATTTCCAGTTCTACGAAGTCAATCAAATCCTTGCCAATCTGATGCTTCCGACTCATCATCCAGTTCAACTCCAATGGATTTGATCCCATTTCTAAGCAAAGGGGTTCCCTTTCCTCTGCCTGTAAGCCAGAAATTCCCAGTGATTTAAACATTACATACATATACCACTGTACAATTGAAGAGTTAATAAATCAAACTTTAATGTCACTATACATTTTTGTTTCATCACCACAAATACATGCTCTGATTACACTTTTTTTTTGTTGTTATTCTTAGTAGCGCGAGACTGAGTCTACTTGGTACTGCAGCTACTACTGGCCTATTGTACGAGCCCCAGACGATAGATTGTGGTGATTATGGAATGAAGATTGGCAGGGGAAACCAAAGTACTCAAGATAAAACCTGCCTCAGCACCACTTTGTCCACCACAAATCCCACATGACCAAACCTGGACTCCAACCCAGGCAGCTGTGGCTGGAAGCCAGCAACTAACCACCTGAGCTATGGCACAACCTTCTGATTACACTTACCTAAGACTCTAGCCAGTACCACAAGCATCAACAAAGCTTTAGTATCAGAACGTTCTAAACGAAGTTCTTCCTTCAATAATTTCTCCTTATATGCAAACAGTTCCAACTTTAATATAATGTCTTTTTTGTCAGATGATACTGCAAGCAATCTGCAGTTTACATTGGGAACTTTTTCAGTCAATGACTCCTTCAATTCAGCTGTGCCATACATTTCGCACTGAGACCTCGGTAAAGTCAAATGTATTTCATATCGGTGCCCCAGTTGCAAAAATCCAAGGTGCGCTGTTAACTGGCAATCATCTTGTTTCTGTATAACAATTTCATTATCTTTACCGAAACAATCAGCATCTTCTCCAAAGTGAACCCGGTGTTGCTCTGCGAATATGAATACAAAACATTACCTTTAACCTGAAAAATTACGCATACAGCCGTTAAATATTTTAATTAAATATTTAATATTTTCCTTTCTAATTTGTTATAATTGGATTGACAACTTGCGCTTTTTTTGCAAAAGGCCTTATTTATTATTTTATATTTTTATGTTTTATTTACTGACAACTTGTATTTTTTTCCAAGAGGCTTGATTTGTTATTACTTTGTACTTTAGATTTTACATATTACATTTAATGTGTATCTGTATTCTATTGCATGTGACTGTTTGTCTCCGACATGATATATGACAATTTTTATATCCAGCCCTACGGAGTGACTGTTGGATCACAGAAATGTATTTTAATAATAATAATAATAATAATAATAATAATAATAATAATAATAATAATAATAATAATACATTCTAAACGACGTTATATTATTTTACCTTTTTCTGACATAATATTTTCATTGTATAACTTTAGTGTCCTTCTAATAGCGAACCCCTCGACTTCAATCGAATCAATCAGGCCTACCTTTTCCTGTAATAGGTAACCTCATTGATTGTTAGCAGATATGCTCACTGAAACCTGCACGAAATTACTTCATGTCATAATTTTTATTAATCAAATCTGGTGTTTACAGAATTTTGCTGCATACCAATCTTTACTGCATGGAACTTTCCTACCTATCATTTCCTAAGTCATATGAAATAGATAACGATAGTTAACTTCGATCACTTCGATTAAAGTTTACATGCAGTAGGGGTTGCCAACCTTGAAAGTAGTGTGCAGCGTTTCCAAGGAAATATTTCGTTAGGCTCGTTAGTATATTCAGTGGGATGTGGAATGTGTTATAGCGTCAGGAAAAGCTGAAAAAAAAAGTACATTTAAATGTATAATATATCGAACAGACGTTAGTTGTGTATAAGTTTTAAGACATTTTAAAATCAATACTAAACTGTAAAGAGCTGTATGAATTACGAAGATGTCATCATCTGCAGAAAAGACAGCTTCGGAGGCCCCATCGTCACCAGGGAATGGTAGCACCTTTTGATATGCTAATGTTTACGGTAGATGTTTCACGTGTTTACGAAGCGTGGGGAAATAAACCAAAAATTCTTAATTTCAAGTGTGAAGGGGCACTGGCCCCTGGAAGGGAATATGTAACTATAAGTTTTGATTTCGTTTGCTGATTTGTGCATGGCTGTCATTTTATGTAATATATATATATTTTTTATTTTACAGAAAACGTTGGAGTGACGGCTGAAAGGGCTGAAATCAGTACTGGTGAAGTGGTAAGCCATAACTGGAGCAGGACTATAACAAAGCTATTGAAATATTGGTAAAGTGGAAGTGTAACTGATGTTCTTGAAGCCACCATTAATGAATGTCATTGTAATCAGTATAAATTCAGGTTCCATTGCCAGACCACTGCAGTGTTATTTTTTATTTTTAAATTCTGCATCTTTTTGTGTTTAGTAATTTTGAAAGTAATGAAATTTAAATTTACTTTAATAACCATTGACATAATTTCAAAGATTACTAACGTTTTTATTGAAAACCACAAATGTTATTAGCGTCACACATTGCCATCAGGTGGTACACTAATTAGGAAAACATATAATAAATGAGTAATATTAAAGTTTCACTCACTGGGTTGAAATTAGTCATCACTAAAGTTGTGTTGACAGGTATTATAGTAAGTTTTAATATTTTTTATGTGTATGAGTGACTATTATAGATGGGGATTTGGATGGAGATTGGATTTATTGACAGATAGTAACTACATTCATTCATTCATTCATTCATTCATTCATATTTAATGTATTCAAGTAGATCCCGTTGCAGGGTGAGAAAATAATTCACATACCATTGGATATAGAATATGTCAGATCATCATCATCAGTAATCTGTCAGACAACAGGTCCACAGTCTCTTCCAAAACAATTCCTCCACTTAATGCGATCTAGAGCTTTCTCCTTCAAATGACAGTATCCTCTTCTGTCCCCAAGGTCATCCAACATCATCTTACGTCTTCTTCCTCGTCTTCTGGTCACTTCTATCCGCCCCTCTATCTTTCCTTTGATAACTTCTTTTAGAAGGCAGTTTCTGCGTAAAACATGACCAATCCAATTAGCCTTCCGTTTTCTTATTTCGTGTAGGATATTCCTCTGCTCACTGACTCTAATTAACACTTCTTCATTTCTCACAAAATTGATCCAACTGATCCTCTCCATCCTTCTCCAACACCACATTTTGAAACTGTCCAGACGTTTCTGATCTACTGCCCTAAGTGTCCATGTTTCAGCCCATACAGAGCTATGCTCCAAATGTAGCATTTCACTAGTTTCTTCCTCAAATTTAAGTCCAATTTGGCAGTAAAAAGATTCTTCTTCTTGCTAAATGCAGCTTTTGCCATGGCAATCCTGGATTTAATTTCACACATACACCTTCCATCATCTGTTAACAAGCTGCCCAAATATTTAAAACACTTCACATTCTCCAGTTGTTTTTGGTCTATCTTTATTGTGACTGGGGTTGGTTGCCTCGAAATTTTCATTACGTTTGTTTTGTCCACATTCATTTCCATGCCATAGCACCTTCCAATTTCAATTAGTCTATCAATCATGCCCTGTAGCACAGTTTCTTCCTTAGCCATTAACACAAGGTCATCTGGATATTTCACAATTTGAATAATTTGACCTCCTAATGTGAAGTCTCCGAGCCCATCGAGAGCTTCCTTGGTAAGGCATTCGCTGTACAAGTTGAACAAAATTGGTGATAAACAGCATCCTTGTCGAACTCGTCTTCAAATGTGCACACTTCTTGTCTCTCCTTTGTCCACTCGTACTCTAACTTTCTGATCCATGTAGAATTTGCTAATCCGTCTTCTTTCACGCCAATCAATACCTGTTTCCTTTAGGATCTGCATTAATTTAGTCCAGTTTACACGGTCAAATGCCTTATGCCAGTCTGTAAAGCAAACACACAGTTCTTCATCTATCTCCAAAGTTCGTTCCGCTATAATTCTCATCATCCCAATTGCATCCCTGGTTCCTTTTCCTCTTCTAAATCCAAACTGATCTTCTCCAAGTACATCCTCTATTTTCCTTTCAATTCTTCTTTTAAGTATCTTTGCTATTATCTTTGCTGTATGTGCAATAAGACTTATTGTGCGATGGTCGCTGCATTTTGTAGCTTTTGTCTTTTTCTTTAAGGCAATCATTGTAACTTCTGTAAAGTCCTTGGGCCACTCTCCACTTTCATATATGGTGTTCATTAGTTTTGTCAGTGTTTTCAAACCACCTTCTCCCAGTAACTTGAGCACATCTCCAGGTACATCATCATCTCCTGTAGCCTTTCCCTTCCTCATTTCCTTGATAGCTTTTTCCACCTCACTTTGTAAAATATATGGTCCTTTCTCGTCTGTATCTACTTCTTCTTCCGGTTCAACTTCTAAGGTTTCTGGCCGATTAGGTCGATCATATAGTTCTGAAATATAATTTTCCCAAATTTTCAGCACTTGCCTCTGATCTACTATTCTATTCCCCTGGGAGTCTTCGATGCCAACATTTTGAATCCCATGATTCTCTTTCCATCCTAGTTCTTTTGTCTTCATGTACATCAAATCATAACGGCCTGTTCTTTGAAATTCCATAATCTCATTACATATCTTCTCAAGATATTCCTTTTTGGCCCTGTCCGTGGCTCTTTTCAATTCATTCCTCAGTCTCCTGTATTTCCTCCTGCCTTCTTCATTGTTGACATTCTTCCATTTCCTTCGCTCCTCCATTTTACTCATCATCTCCTGTGTAACCCATGGTTTTCTTGCTATCTTCTCAACTTTACCTACCAAATCACTGATAGTATCTAACATGCATTCTTTTATATCGTTCCACTGCGCTTCAGCATTTCCGCTTTCACCTTCAATTGCACCGAGTTTCTCTTCTAGAGTCTCTTGCACGCTTTGTCTTTGAGCATATAACTTCTCCAAATCCCATCTGGGTCTGCGCTTTCGAAATCCTATAATTTTCTTCAACCTGGTTCGGAACTTGGCAACCAGCAAGTTGTGGTCAGAGTCAATGTCTGCCCCAGGAAGCGTCTTCACATCCTTCACACTGTTTCTGAATCGATGTTTCACAAGGATGTAGTCCAGCTGATGCCTCTTCCAATCCCCAGGTGCCTTCCATGTGTAAATTCTTCTCTTTGGCTTCTTGAACCAAGTGTTGGTAACAATCAATCCATTTCGTTCACAAAAGTCAATAAGCATTTGACCTCTGTGATTCCGTCTTCCTAGTCCATGTGATCCAACAATATTCTGATATGGTTCATCTCCAACAATGCTGTTCCAGTCTCCCAATATGATGCTGTTTGTGTCTCCTCTTCCATCTTCCTGAAGAATTTCTTCAATTGTGTCATACACTTTTTCCACTTCATCATCTTCATACTCTGATGTTGGCATGTACACTTGTATAATCAGTATATCTACCGGTTCCGCCTTTAACTTCAGAGCAATAATTCTGTCATTACAAGCAATCTTCTTAACAACACTCCTCACTACACTTTTATGCACCACTATTGCCACACCTCTTTCAGCCCGTTCACCTCCGGAACAATACACTGTATAATCACCATTTCTTATTTCACCTTGTCCTTTCCACCGCACTTCGCTGACACCTAGAACAGACACCTCATTCTTCTGCATTTCCATTTTCAAATTCTCCAATTTTCCTGCTTGATTCAAGGTCTTTACATTCCTTGTTCCAATCTTGTAGCCATGATGTTCCTTCTGATCTTCGCACTTTTTCTTGTTGTAACGCCTGCATGACATTTCCTCTAGAAACACTCCCCCCCCCGGATATCCGATTGGGGGAGTAGTTTACCTCCAGATTGTTTTGTCTCCAGAGGAAACATCTTGCATACATGGTGTCCGTTTTTGGAAAGAGACTCTCCAGGAAAAGTGATAATGTGGTAGTTTTTCCATTTGCTTTCCACATCGCAGTACAGCAGCCGTTCCAACAACTCTGGTCAGATATCAAAACAAATGTTCAAACCAGTCATTGGAACAGTCAGAATAACATAGTAAAACATACATGACACGATCACTGAACATAATAAAATGTAACTACAACAAGACTTAAATACTAGATGAAAAGCATATTGACCATTCATCTAATAAAATTCATCCAGTTTGTAAAGACAATGCATCTGAATAGATATTACCAGTAAACAATACAATATCAAATAATGTGTATTGCATCACTCACACGTCAAAAGAAAACTATAGTAATATCTAACATGCATCAAGAATAAATACAAATAAATATATTCTCTCAGAAGTGTATTAAATGACTATTATCATAATAAATACACACATTCATAAAACAACAAGAGGCTGTACATTTAAAATAAATAAAAGCCATAGTAGGTATAAATGTAGATAAACAATAGGTGGTTATTTATATATTTTTTGTTAATAGGACTTGTCAAGGTTAATTTTAAATACAGGGTGAATCGTATGGAACCAGCCCGATTAATTTGCTAATAATTCCGCAGATGATGCATATAACTGCTCACAATTACGACATAATAATCTGTGGGCCGTGCTGAGTCGAGTGGTGTGTGCATGATCCGGCAAGTGGCAGCCCTTATGCTGCAAGGTCAAGGACAATCCCAAAACATGTCTGCAGTGCGCAGGAGACAGTCATGGAGTACACTGTTGAACAGTGAGTGTTTCTCGTGCGCACGTACTGGGTGACAGCCTTGATTGCGAACACAATTGGAATTCAGGAGGAAGTTTGGAGTTTGCAAGAAGCCAGCGAAATCGACTATACAGTCCTTGGCTCAGAAATTGGAAAGGACAGGGACACTTTTAAGTGGACGTGGTAAAAACCGCCCAGAAATGCCAGAAGAAATGATTGCAATTGTGCGGGACAGGTTACTGCAGTCCCCCAAAAAATCATTACGACGTCTGAGCCAGGAAACAGGGTATTCTTATTCAACTTGTCAATGGGCTGCAAAGAAAGTGAATCTTTGTCCCTACAAGATCACCAGTGTTCAGGAATTGGGTGATGTTGATAAAGATAAACGGGTACGGTACTGTTTATGGTTTCTGGAATTCATGCACAATAACCCCAGAATTTTGGATATCACATGGTTTAGTGATGAAGCATGGTTCCCCATATCAGGATATGTAAACACACAAAATTCCAGGATCTGGGCATCTGAAAACCCGCATGAAATTGCTGAATCACCACTACACCCACAAAAAGTGGGTGTGTGGTGTGCCATTTCTGGTTTACGAATTATTGGACCGATCTTCTTCGACATGACCGTGGACAGCACCATATACTGCCGTATTTTTTACGTTTTCATGCAGCAGCTGGATGATGTGGAACTTACACAGGGTTATTTTCAGCAGGATTCAGCGACATGCCACACATCCAACATGCCCATGGAACTGATTGAGAACTTCTTCCTCAACTGCGTCATCTCTAAAAATATGTGGCCCCCAAAATCCCCCGACCTTACCAGCCCGGATTCTTTTCTCTGGGGTTTACTGAAGTACAGGGTGTATGCAAACTAACCACGTACGTTACAGGATTTAAAGGACAACATTTCGGCTGAAATCAGGAACATCACTGAAGAAACACTGCAGTGAGTCATGGCGAATATACAAATGCGGGTGGAGGTGTGCCTACTTGAAAACGGTGGACACTTTCAACACCTCTGATCATGGCACACAATCCAAGATAAGACATGTATGGTATATTTTATATTACAGCTCATTTCGTCGGGCTGGTTCTATATGAATCATCCTGTACTGTTTATAAGAACCAAGATTACCCCTTGTGTTCCATTCATAATATTCATTGAAGGAATAAAATGAACCAGCAAGAAGAAACTTTTTTAGATCTTCTTTGAATTTAGTAATATCATTTAATAGATTCCTTCTGCCTTGTGGTACATTATTGACAATCCTAATCCCTGAATAATATACACCCTTCTGCACTTTAGTTAATTATTAGATGGAAATGTAAGTCTGAGCCTTGTCTAGTGTTAATGCTGTGTATAGCAGAATTAAATTTGAATATATCCAAATTCTTAACTACAAATACTGGTACAGAAAATATATATTGAGAATATAAGGGCAGAATATTTAATTGCCTGAACAATGGAAGACAGGAGTCCTTACTTCTTGCCTTCATAATAATTTTCACTATTCTTTTTTGGATTTTGAAAATTAAATTACCATGAGTCGAATTGCCCCAAAATATTGTTCTGTATGACATAATGGAATGTACATATGCAAAATAAATCATCCTTAAGCTCTCCTGAGTCATAACTACAGATAGGGTTCTAATAGAAAACTAGCCTCACTCAGCTTAGTTACCAATTGATTTATTTGATCTTTCTGTGATTACATACATACATAATTCATAAATTCACTGATCTGTTGTCCGAATTGGACCGGATATTGAACTTTTCAAAATAAGATTTANAACTTTTTTAGATCTTCTTTGAATTTAGTAATATCATTTAATAGATTCCTTCTGCCTTGTGGTACATTATTGACAATCCTAATCCCTGAATAATATACACCCTTCTGCACTTTAGTTAATTATTAGATGGAAATGTAAGTCTGAGCCTTGTCTAGTGTTAATGCTGTGTATAGCAGAATTAAATTTGAATATATCCAAATTCTTAACTACAAATACTGGTACAGAAAATATATATTGAGAATATAAGGGCAGAATATTTAATTGCCTGAACAATGGAAGACAGGAGTCCTTACTTCTTGCCTTCATAATAATTTTCACTATTCTTTTTTGGATTTTGAAAATTAAATTACCATGAGTCGAATTGCCCCAAAATATTGTTCTGTATGACATAATGGAATGTACATATGCAAAATAAATCATCCTTAAGCTCTCCTGAGTCATAACTACAGATAGGGTTCTAATAGAAAACTAGCCTCACTCAGCTTAGTTACCAATTGATTTATTTGATCTTTCTGTGATTACATACATACATAATTCATAAATTCACTGATCTGTTGTCCGAATTGGACCGGATATTGAACTTTTCAAAATAAGATTTAATTGCAGAAGTACAATCGTGTCAACAGCAAACAACCACACACAACCAAAAGCACCAAATAACCGTAATTTACATTGTCATTCATAAACAGAATTACAAGGAATATAGTTATTAAATGCTATACATGCTTAGCAGAAATATATTCATCTATTGAATAGAAAGCATTTGTTGTGAGGAAACTTTTCAGTGTGTGTTTAAAAATCTTCACATTATCACCATCCTTTGTATATTTTGAGGAAGATTATTATAAACCATAGTGGATGAATATAACACGCCTCTCTACACGAGTTTCCAGGACTCAATCTCAGCATAACCCTAATCGCTCTTTTTTGGGCAACAAATAAACTTTTCATAACTGGAGAAGAACCCCAGAATATAATACTATATTCAAGCTGAGACTGATAATAAGAAAAATAGACCATTTAAAGAACCCGTTCACTGACAAGGGATTGTAACTTCCTGAGCTTAAAACATGCTGTATTCAGTTTCTTTAATAAGTTTTCAGATTGTTTTTTTCCAATTAAGTTGACAATCTAAATACATACCTAAAAATTAGCATTATCAACATCTTTAACCTTTAACGTATGGACTTTTAAATTGCCGGGAGCCCTCTGCGGCTGGTATTTAAATCACCCTGTTTAATTAAATTTGCAAACTGTCAGAAAAAAAATCCATATTTTCTGTTCTATGCAACATATAAATAAAAACTAAAAACAACCTGAAAGACAATAAATTTTTCTACATGTACACAGAAGAGCAATTTTTACAAACGAAAATTAACTGTGATTATTTTGTCATGAATTGCAAAATATAATCTTTATTATATATGTTATGAAATTCCAAAGGACTTACCCGTTGTTTTTTCTTCATCCTTGAATCATGGTCATATTGTAAATATAATCACACTATATACAATAATATTTTGTTCAGACTGTATGTGAGTTTGAACCGCGTCACTTCACAGTTTACGATATCTCACACCCTGATGCGTGTATGCCATGTCTTGAAGTAGCCAGAACACGCAGAGTGCAACCCACGTCTCGAGGCAGCCGACAGTAGTAGAGCATGCTTCTGTGCTTCATATTTTGAGAACGAATACGTCTTTGTTTCCCTTTGGTTGACCAGTGTTGTGAATGTTTCATCTCCAGTCGACTCAGTTGGGCCCCAGGTAACCTTGGCTCCCCCGAGAAACGCCACTGACCGTCATATTCGGCTTGTGCGATTGAAGAATCATCTTGGGGGAGGGGAGGTTTCTAGCAAAATCGAATAAATTATTTTGATTGACAAAGCGACATTTTCACCTGTTGGTAATATTCGCAAAATAGTGATGCAAAGTAATTATAATACTGGTCGAAAAGAGTGCTGGTCCGACACATACTGAAAGTTGCAGTGGCGAAGATTACTTTTACTCAGAAAGTAATACTGGCTCAGTGGGTTTATACCTCTTCCAAGACGCAAAATAAAAATGATATATAACAAAATATATGACAGTCTGACACTGACTTTCTAACTGATAAAGAAATATTAGACAATCCGACACTGACTTCTTGACTGATAGTATGCCACTGAAAACCAATCCTTGAATGCGTCACACTTCCTTGAAGGCTTTGCAAGTGCTCATTTGCAAGCACCGATAAATATTTCCTCATCAGTTCTCGAAACAAAGCTGGGCTATATTTGACTGACCAGGTCATAAACAGTCATGTCTAAACGTAAATAGTATCGAAACCAGGACCGAGATAAACAATTTCTTTGTTCAGAACTAAGGAATGAACCACTGACATGACCTCACATAGGTTTGTTTAGGTTTCCAACCCAAGGTCAAACTGCCAGCACTCCCAAAGAGAGCATGTGTCCTGCGACGTGTACACACGTCATTCGGCCAACTCCGGTTACTGCTTGCGACCTGTATACGCGACATTCGGACGTTAAAGGTTAAGTATAAAATTATTATATGTTACCGATAATGTATACTTTGAAGACTTAGGAGTCACAAATTTAATCAGGCGAGTTTTACTCAAATTAAGTACCCGATTGTTATTTCGAAACCAGCTTGAAACCCTAGTCATAACTCTATTTAATTTAATATTCAAAGAGTAGGTCATTTGAGGTAATTAAAATTGTTGTGTCATCCGCGTGCAAAATAGTATGTGCTATGTCCTTAAGAGTACCTGGGAAATCATTAATATAAACATTAAACAACAGTGGCCCCAAGACAGATCCCTGGGTAACACCAAACCTTACAGATTTCCATTCAGAGATTGTAGTAGTCGAGTTACAAGTATGCAGCACTACTCTTTGCATTCTATTTTTTAAATAAGTCTCCAACCATTTCAAAATAGCCTCTTTGACTCTACGAGGGGGTACCCAAAAGAAACCGAACTTATTTTTTTTTAAACTTATTTCTTCAAATTTTAAGCACAAAATGATATGATACAAATTCCGTCCCGAGTGCAAACAATATATTATGTGTCCTTGATCTTGTTCACCTACACTACATGTTTCGGCCTCACACGGCCATCATCAGGTGTATAACACTCACGTCGCTGTCACACTGCACTCAGCCCAAAATTTAACATTTAAAACGCTTTCCTTGTTATTATCAACATCTACTTCGTTGATATCTGTCTGGACGTAGATTATTTTACACACGTTAATTTTGACGTACCTGTAGTAGCACTATAAAATCTTTAGTTCTAATTTTTAAATCCTTTAAAATTTTTTCTCTAATTTTAAATTTAAAATTGTTAGGGTTACTCGCCCTATGTCTAAAGTGCTGCAGCGGCTAGTTCTTGTTTCCACACTGTATAGGTGTTATCCTGTGTAGTCTTCCTGTGTGTGTGCCGCTGTAGTAAAGAATAACAGCGGGAAGTATACAGGGAAGTATAAAGAAGCATCTGACCTACTATTGAATGCTTATTTACTTTGCATTTCTGGTTGCATTTGGAGAAAGATAGTTGATATTCTTTGTGATTTACTTACAGTGCTGTCTGTAAATAAACTGTATTGGGTCTGGAGATATGGGCTATCTCTATCTAATGGACCCAACTGAGTAGGTTTTTCCTGAGGATGGGGTCAGAATCCAGTCTCCAAAACATTGTGTTTTTAAAAAGAAACAGGACGGTTTTTAGAAAATAGACAAGACGATGGATAATGTCCAAAAACATAATACTTGAAACTGTATTGATATTAACAATTTCTGTGTTCAGACTCAAACTGAAATCACTTGGATTACATTTTGTGAAATCTTCCTTATGTCTAATGCTACTTAAATTGGCACACTCAGCCTGTTATTTCATGAGATATGAAAAGGGTGGAACATCAATGGATGTAGGAACAAGATGAGCTCTAAATACAAAAATAAAAACTGAAGAACAGTCATCAGTCATTATCAGTACTGTAATCAAAAATTATCTTTATCTTACATGCTGTCATGGTGTAATAGTGCACATACTTCGTATTCAAGTGGTATGCAGTTCACATCCAAGATGTCCTTCATTCATTCAGAATGTCAACAAAGTGCATATAAACAAATGCAAGGAAAGTATAAACACGAATTAAATGCTTTGTTCACAGTACACCTAATTTTTGTATGTCCTTATTATCAATGAATTCAATGAAGTATAGTGTTCAGTTATGAGTTCTGTCTTCTGGGATATAACATTATGTAATCTGGTGAAAAGCCTAATTTCATCAGGATACATAGCGCTATATCACAGAAGATAGAACTCTGTATAGCCACTGCTGTGAAAACCTTAAATATTTTATATACCTGCACTAGTGTGTATATGTTCAGAGAACACATGCCGTCCACACAATCTTAATGTGCCGCTGTTGCAAGGCAGAGGTGCTGTGTGAGGAGGCCTTCCTTGGTCTGTGAGCCAGCAAGCTGTTGCCTGTCACCAGTATTTGTTTTTAGACATTCCAGATCCATTATAGTGGCTGAGGTGTTTGTGCTTCCTGTGGTGTCTGTGTCAGTGACAAGATCACATTTACTTTATTTTTTAATAATCCTGCTACTGATTACCCATGTCCTTTTTAGTCAACATGGTGTTGATAAGGAAACAAAAAACTTTCCTGAAGTAAGCTTAATTTTTTAAAACTGATCATATCTATTTTCTGTATCCCATTTTCATTGTTCTGCGCCTCTGTCATAAACAATGGCTCAGACTTTGGTAGCATTTTCTGTGTCACTGAGCATGTTGGCTGTAGCTTTAACTCTTTTGATTTGTATTTGAGAGGTGCCCAGTTCAAACCTTGGTCAAAATACCAACCATCCTGACTTGAGATCTTCTAGGGTTTTTCCCAGTCAAATGCCAAGATAGTGATTCACATCAGGCTATGACCAATTCCTTCCACTGTCATCCATACACTTGATGTTACATAGTTTGAGCTGTTGACATTAAATAAAATACAAATAAATGCCCCTGAATGTTTGTTACCACTGTTTCATGATACAAACATAATTGATTACAGATGGAAACTTCTCAGCCTAAAAACAAGGAAAATTAATTTTGTAAGATTTGAGGTTTTCATGGCAGTGACTATGAAGAAAGCAGTCTTCTGGGATGTGGCACTGTGTAGATGTGGTGTTAACCAACGTTTCGGAGGAACGTATCGCCTCAATCTTCAGGGTGGAAGGAAAAATAAAATCCGCAAGCAAAGAAACAGAGCAGGTACAAGCAGACTAATGTTGGAAATAAACTCAGTTATATGAGAGCAGGAAAGGAAGGGAGAGGTCTACATGGGAAATAGGTGTTGAGGGAGAGGGGAAAGGTCTGGGGAGCTGGAGCAAGGTTAGAGCAGGTATAGGATTAATTTTGATTTTGGGTTAAGCTATTTTATGTGAAGGAGTGACTTTGGACAGGGTTTTGGGTTGGATTTATTGACTATTTACAGGTCATAACTACAAATAACTATGATAACACTATTGCCGATTTCCACACTTTATCCATCACTCCAGCACATCCTAAGTCTTTTGAGTCTGCTTCACTAGTCATTTCCTGCCAGCAGATTTTAACACAGTAACTGTAACAGCCTCACTGAATTACGCACTCCAAATATCACTGTAACTACAACACTTAAAGTCTTCTCTTCACTGCCTGACTTTCAACCAAGCACTGAACGCTCAAAACTGTCCTGGTTATAACATCATGGCATGGACCACACAGAAAACACTGTTCCTCTATTGCTGTTCAGTTGTTGCTTCTTAAGAATCTGCTGCCTAGAATGCATGTTGTTCCATTGTTTGTTTTGTGGCTGTTGCCTAGAATTTCAGACTGGCTCACTAGCAACAGTTGTTTCTTTGGTCCCCCAATCCCTCTTGCCTTGAGCAAATAGGCCACATTATGTCTGGGTTGGGAGCTAGAATATTGCAGTGCCTGTGCTGTGGTCTGCATGTCCAAGTAGTCAGGGTTCAGTCCCTGGCAGGAGCACGATATTTTCTTCTGCACAGCATCTGGATCTGCTCTGGGATCCATCCAGCCTCTTATCCAATAGGCAGCATTGGCAGGCTCTTTCCCCAGTATCAAAGCAGACATGGTGTGACGCTGATCACCCACTGCCATCTAGTGATGAGGTTAAGAATTTGTTGAGTTGCACTTCCGCTCCACCATACATCTTCACGATGTGTTTAATTAAACACAGGGACAACTTTACCATTTATATTAGATTCTTTTTTTTTTCCTCTACACAGGTTTTGTTGGAGGATGCCGTGCCAGGACAGAAGAGATCTGCCCCGACTGATTCTGATGGTGAGTTACATGTTTTGTTTCTAATATTACAGTTAGGGGCAGCAGATGGGATATGAAAGTGACATTTAACCATATATTTGTGAAAGTATGGGGAAGGAATGTTTATCTAAAATTGATGTGTGTTCTACATTCCAGAAGTTGTCATAGATATTGAAGTCGTCCAATTTAAGGTAGTGATTAAATTGGGATATTAAGAGTAAGACTTGGTGGAAGCGGAGTATAAACAGCTGACACTCATATTCCCGCGGCACGGAATAGCGATGCCACAGTGTCAGTTGTTACGTGAAGCCAATATAAATACATATATTACCAGCAAAGGATGCCGCTCATCGTATGAAATATTACACTTCGCAGCTGCAGTCCAGCGAGGTCTCAGGAATCGTTGGGAATATCGCTGGACCAGCGGCTTCGGAGATATAATTGTAAGATGGTATTGGAGGATTCAAAGTTGTAACACCCGCCTTCCGTTTGAATGATCGAATGAGAAGCGATGAAGACATATCTGCGAGGGTGGGAGAATTAATGTCCCCAAACTCAAGGATATAGTCCGAGCTTCAAAAGGGACTTCTAATTTGGTGATTCCGACGGATAGACGTGTTCTGCAAATAATATATTAAACCAGTAAGCAATTGTAATGTGTGCAGTCGCATTATCATTACCCTTTGTCTCATAATCCAAGACCCGTAAACGATCCTGAGGAAGACTTTCATTGCCACCGGAACCCAA